TCAAGACTTTTTAGATAACCTCAAGTGGTTGGTTGTGGCTGGATATGTTAATTTTAGAAACTTCATTTTCTTGTTTTAGAATAGACTATCAACTGCTTAAAAAACCCCCAATGTACCAGTCTACACTCCCACCAACAATGGAGAAGGGTTCCTCTTTCCCCATAGCCCCACCAACATTTGTAGTTGGTTGATTTCATGATGATAGCCATTCTTTCTGGAGTGAGGCAGAATCTCAGCATTGCTTTCATTTGCATCTCTTGTTTCTTGCTGTCAAGCATGGTCACAGAGGCCAGGGCTATTTCGATAACTGTATTAACACAGATCCTGTGGCCTATCCTTAGATTTTTGGTTGTGGAGAAGCAGCTCACAGTGTAGGAGGCATCTATTTATCTATGTGGGCAGCTCCAGAGTGAATAATTTTGCTGGTAGTTTTCTGATCATTGGGTTGTAGTTAAGACTATGTTTTTTTTCTTTTTGGTAAGTAACATTCAAAGATTAACTTCCAATACCCCTGCTTTCTGGGTAGAAGCAGCAAATATCTGAGAGGCCAATGTCATCCCAATGCTCTGAAAGCCACTCTCAGAGGTGTTTCCTGTAGCCTGCTGTTCCAGGCCTCTCAAAGATTTTTCAAGAACCTTGAAAAACCCTTTTCTGCTTAATATAACTACAGTTTTGCTTAACGCGATTATCTTCAACTGTTTCCTGACAAAGTCTCATTATCAAGTTTTTAATTTGTGTGGACATTCGTCATTTACAAAGCACTTTTCCACACGTAATCTTACCCAACCTTGTTGTAGGTACTATGTTTCATGAATTTAACATGTCATCAATTATAAACATTTTAAAAAATGTACCACCATGCAAGCAGATTCTATTTAATCATAACAATATGCTTTTAATTACCTGGAAGTTTTATTTTGTGCTTCTTGTAAATGTGTTTTGAATCTTCCCCCCAGCCCTCTGTGAGTTTCCTAATTATTCCTTAGGTGGCTTATAACTTGGAGTGTCTGTGGTAGGTATGTGATCATAGCAGACAGGTGATAGAGCTAGATAACAGATTAAGGAAATCTACCTTTCTTATATCCCACATTAATTCTCCTAGTTCCCAATGTAGAAGCTTCCAAACCCAGGTTTAGCAGAGAGATGACTTGGAAAAAGAGGACTGTGTGAATACAGTCAGGGAGAAAAGGGTATTGAAAGCAACTAGAGATTTATAAGATGTACCTCAATTTTCAGTTACTACTGTAGTTACTACTGTAGAAAAGAAATGTTCATCTAAAAGTCAGCAAATGGTATTTTTATTACTTTTATATAAATGAGTGCATCTAGGCTCTGCAATTTTAGTGACTAATAGTAGCTAGTAAGAGGCAGAGCCAGGAATTAGACTTGGTTTTTCAAAGCTAAATTCTGTGCTCTTTAAATTCATTAGACGCCTGTCTTCTATATGCAGGCTACAGATCTGAAATTATAAACCAAATTACCAAAGAGAAGACCAATAAAATTGGACTAGGTCTTATGGCAATTCCTTTTTATTTTTTCTTAAATCAGACAAGAAATTCTCAACCTTCGGGGCTCAGCATGAAACACTCAAATGGATAAGGATCTGGAAAGTCATTTTCCTTGAGCCTTTTCACATCTTTCAAAGTCTACTTCATCCACTGCTGTGTACATGTGATGACATCACCCCACGGCTAAAAACAGAATCTATTTCAGAAATGCCTAAGTTCACAGAAAATGAAACAAAATCCCAGATAATGACAACCATTTTAGAGTCTGTGTCTTCCAAGGACCAAATGAAAGGGCTCAACAGCATGTCACCAAGAAGGACTGAATTGAGAATGAAGCAGATTTAGTGTTACTTCCTTAAAGTAATGATGTAACGCTGATTTGTCTAATCTGTCCCTCAGCACTAGTGATAGTAGATCACTTCTAATTACCTCCCCCTTTCTGAGCTATATAGATAAACACCTGGGATATTAAAATGCCTTATGGGCTGGTTATTTAATTGCTACATAATTGATTTCATGAGGGAAAGAAGACAGATTAGATTCTAAGATGTAAAGGCGAAACCTGACAGACTCCAGTGTGTTGCTCAAGTCTATCAATAGAACTGTCAGCCCACAGTCTCTAGCTGGCTATTATGGATCCTTGGAATATGGGAAGAACACATTTGACAACTGTAAGAGCAAATGTAACTGCTCTTCTCTAAAAAAAAAAGATGTATGTTTGTGGTTTTATTTCCATGCCATCTAAATATTACATACCCAAATAATTTTTAGGTTGGAATGGCTTCCTGGTTTGCTCATGAGACAGTCATTTTCCTTTTGCTCTTTTTTTCCTTTGTTTATTCATCACTTCAGTATCACAGGTGGTGATGGTGTGCTCTATTTTGGACACTAGAGAAGTGAATTTTATATTCTTGCTATGTTTCATGATTATAAACCAGGAAACATAAAATACATTTTCTTTGATTTTTTTTTTGCTTCGGAGAAATCTTCCCATTTCAGACTAGGGAAGGACTATCCAAATAACAGATAGCAAATATCAGTTGAGTATCTACGATGTGTCACAACTCTATGTGTTGGAGATTCACACATAAAGATCCAGTGATGAATTCCTTGCTCTCACAGTTCCTCCTTTCTAGATGTGAAATGCACTAAAAGCAGAAATGCAGTGCTGTCACGATAGGTGCAATGAAGGTATATTTTATTGATATACTTTAAGGTATATTCTTGTGATGGTAAAGTGGAATGTAAGTTGGCTTGGACTACCATAACAAAATACCACAGCCTGAGTGGGTTAAACAACTTATTTTTATTTCTTATATTTCTAGAAGCTGGGAAACTTAAGATCAAGGTGCTGATGATATAGGTTTTATTTTGCAGACTCCCTTCTTAGCTGTAGGTGGCTTCCATCTTGATTCGTGCTCACATGACTTGTGTGCGTGTGTGTGTGTGTGTGTGTGTGTGTGTGTATGTGTCTTTGGTATCACTTCTTATAAACATACTAATCCTGTCAAACCAGGGCCCCAGGGTAAGGGGATAAAGTGTGGGCATAGTTGATGCCTTTGAGCAGAGAACCAAATGAAAGGTAGGCCAGATGGGTAACTGGGTAGGAATGTTTCAGGCAGTGGAGTAATAAGCACTCACATCTCGAAGTGGAAGCAGGTTTGGTGTGTCTGAAGAACAGCCAGCCAGGCAAGTGTGAAATCATTCAGAACAGTGGTGGAAGGTGAGGGCAGAGAGCTTGGGACTGATTTAATTCATGGTAACAGTCAACTTTATCAATCTCCATGCCCATATTATGGAAAATATCTTGTAATGACCATACTTTTCTCCCAAAATAAAATTCATTGGAAACGTAATCTACCTTTATAAATATATCTAGGACAAGATAAGCAGTTTAATACAGCATATGGATTATAGTAGTTTAAAACATACTCACGTAAAAGTTGACAAATCTGTCATTTCTTAATGAAACTTTAAGTACTTGCTTTTCTCAGCTGCTTTGAGGGAAACATTCTTGCTGTACTTATCAATATACTGTAAAATATATATAAATAGATAAGTACAAAGATAAACTAAAGATACAAACAGTTGAAAATTTCAGACAAAGTAAGGTCTGAATTGATGACATTTTCCTGAGTTAATTTCTTTCTAAAGTGTTCAGAAATATGCTAGTAAACCAATTACTGTGTTCATTAAATATGCACTGTTTCTCATAGTTGTACACACTCCAAAAGGATGAGAGTACATTGTTTTTCCCTCTTTTAGGGTATGAGGAAGCTGCACATTTTCTGCATCAGTGTGTGTGGGGGGGCATAAATTAGAAGAGACTCTGAAGTAAAATTCTGAAGGGAATTTTAGGGAAGATAAATGGAATTTCCTACAATGCCTAAAAGAAAATTGAAGGTTAGAGAAAGTGACCTTGTGAGAAAAAATTAAATGAGTTCTAATGGGGAACAATGTTGTAGACAGAGAGCCTGTGTCTTCTGAGGTTCCACAGATACCTTGCAGGGGTTAACATGTGACCTGGACTTAGAATGACCAAGGACAGAAGGACAGAGAGGAAAGTATACAACAGCTGCCCATAAAAAAACAGATGGTGCCTGAATAAATGTAGACATTTTTGGTCTGTTCTACCATTGCCTAATTTGGTAGGCTTAAAGTAAAGTATTTCATAATACCTGTGTGCTTGGGATATTCTGGGTATTATTAGTCAAGAGGAAGATGACATGATATCTACTGGGATTCACGTCCTTTTATTTGTAAATGTTTTTGAAGTTTATCTTTATGTTTACTCAGAATAAATGATAATTGATGAAACATTTTTCTCATAATTAAATTTTAAATTCTCTCACTCTGTACTTAGTTAACATCAGTGTTTGATATCTAAAATTTTAAATTCTTTCACCCTGTACTTAGTTAACATCTAGCTGGCAGCTAAAATTGAAAAAAAAAATCTGTTTCCTGAATAGACAATAGACAAATCAAAATTCAAGTCCAGTAGACAAAATTTCCATCTATCTCTTTCCTTATCTATCTTTCATAATGCATAGAATCTAAATATATTCATATTTTATACAGGTAACTACATTAGATTTTGAATGTACTTTCACAACTAAAGATGGTTTAATTAGTGTTTTGTTCTCGGCCATGATTTTATATTTTAAAGCTGGAGTACTAGGTTTTATTTAAAGAAATAAATGTAAGGAGATATATTACATACTGACTGTACTGTTGCTTGTATCAATTCACTGTGGCCTTTGGTTGACATGTGCAATCACTTGGTTAGGTGCCAGCTTTTGTGCCCTAGAGTCTCAGGTGGTCAGAGACCAGGTACAGAGCAGAATAGTCTTTCTTACAGATAAAATGGGAAGAGTGGGGCTGAACTTCGCTTTTAAATTTTCTCCTTCAAGACTAACAGGGTTACTTCTATTTACTGCCCCATACAAAACTAAGCTAAAGCCAGTTGCCTCCCAACGATGTGTCACTTTCGCCATGGCCCTCGGCAATGCTGACATACAAAAGCAGATTAAGCACATAATGGCTTTTGTTGAACAAGAAGCCAATGAGAAAGCAGAAGAAATAGATGCAATGGCAGAAGAAGAGTTCAACAGTGAGAAATGTCTTCATGTGAAGACCCAAAGACTGAAGATTATGGAGTCCTACGAGAAGAAGGAAAAGCAGATTGAGCAGCAGGAGAAAATTCAGATGTCCAACTTGAAGAATCAAGTGAGGCTGAAAGTCCTTAGAGCAAGAGATGACCTTATCACTAACCTGCTAACTGAAGCAAAGCAGAGGCTCAGCAAGCTGGTAAAAGATACAACCAGGTTCCAAGTTCTGCTGGATGGACTGGTGCTCTAGGGTTTGTACCAGCTGGTGGATCCCCAAATGATTGTGCATTGGAGGAAACTAAATTTCTCTTTGGTAAAAGCTGTGGTGGGAAAAGCGATCCTTATGTACAAAATCACCACCAACAAAGATGCTGATGTTCAAATTGATCAGGAGGCCTACCTGCCTGAGGACATAGCTGGTGGAGTTGAGATCTATAATGGGAATTGTAAAATAAAAGTTTCCAACACCCTGGAAAGGTGGCTGGATCTCATAGCCCAGCAGATGATGTCAGAGGTTCAGGATCCTTGTTCAGTGCAAATGTGAATAGGAAGTTTTTGGACTAAGACTTGGGGAGGGGGAATTCATCCTCTGTGCTACATCTGAAGAAGCAAGATTGCCCGTGTATCTTCCTTTAGGCTGTTCTAATACTGTTCTGGATTTACCTATGACGCCCTTTTGTAGCTGATGCCCTTGGCCCCCAATAGTAGTGGGAGGAGCTCACTTAATGTGACCAGGACCCTTGCAGCAGTAGGAGCTTCACCCTTATCTGTTTGGGCCTAGTTTTCCTCATCTATAAATGTGATTTAAAATCTAAACCATGAAGATTCTTTATTTATTAAAACAAAAAGTTTACGTGGGAAAAACCGACTAACAGGGTTGAGTTAATCCTGCTCTGCTGAAAGAAAGGTGGTGAGGAGTGGCCCATTCAGCACACCTTCTCATAGTGAGTCAGCAGGCCATTCCTCCGAGAATGAAGAAGAAATCTTCCTGCCTACAATTTGTGATTCTTACTTAGGCTCTGCTCAAAAGTAATGAAATTATGAGGTCACTCAGTCTTAGTCAGATTCAAAGACAGACACAATATAACAAATTGATTCCTATTAGCAGGAATACAGTGACTTCTCTTTGACAGAAGAATTACCTATTGAAGGCATCAAATTTTACTTCACAGAGATTGGATCCTGATGAACTGAGAGGACATTCTGAGTGCTGAGGATTTTGCCTTGAGGACATCATTCCAGCTTGAGCAGATTTTGGATGGATCAGTTGTACCAGATGCATTTTTTTAGCTTGGTCATTAGATTTTATATCACTGCAGAGACAAATAAAATAAAAATCATTTTAGAAGAAGAAGCTTTTAGACTTTACCATTTTTGTCATGAGTAATCTTTTACTAAACATAAATTTAAATCATTGTAAAATATGAAGAAGCAATATTAACTTCTGGAGACTTCTGATATAAGACTAAAAGCCCTCCATTCCAATTTTTAAAAGTGACCATGTTAAGATTAGGAAAGAAAAGCTGTAATGCATAAAGATTTTTCTGTCATCTCATTTTTCTTATCAATTATAGTGCTGACCAAACTAATTAGATCAAGTTTGGAGCATATTTTGCCCCCTGAATCTGTCATTTCTCATTGCTGTGTTCCATGGTCAAAGGTTCTATCCTTTTAATCTCATGTAGCTATTTTAGAGTGTGTTTCCTTGGTCATAAATAGGAAAAACAAAGAGAAAAAAAGGAGGCATCATTGTAAAATAGAAAAGCATGAGGACTGAAGTTAGTTGAGAAGGAAAAGAGACATGGAAGGGTGTCCCTAGCCTCTGCCAAGCATCTTTCCAGGAGCTTCCTCTCTCAGATGTGCCTGAATCTTTGAAGCAGAGTTGCCACTACTGAAGGCTGTGGGTGTTCATTGATTTGCTCTGGGCTATAGTAGGTATCAGGATCCAAACCCAAGTCCATCCAATGCTGGAACGAATGCTCCACATACTACAATACTTCTCAGAGGCTGAGCTCTATGTGATAGGCCTCTTAGCATTTACATAAAGTAGCAATAACTGCCAAAATCAGATTATCATCAAAATTAAAAGGGCAGCATGTATGAGAATATTCTAAAATCTATAATGCCAAAAAATGGAGACGATGTATTGTGATATGTAATTGAAAATTCAGAATGATCCTAAAACTGAGGAAAAAAATAATACCCATGTCCACATTGTGATAAAATTTACCAGAGCCATCTTAAATATGGAAGGTAATGATAAAAAAATAAGTAATGCCACACATTATCTGAAAAATATTGCAATAAGATATACATATTTGAAGAAAATCCAGAATCCAGAATCAAGATGAAAAAAGCCTCTATAGCAATTATGATGATCCTAGTTGACCACTGGAAGCCATTGCATATCTAGGTATGGTTTGCATAGGTGGGACACATAGCTGTAGCATAGGAAAATATTACTATTAAAATTTAGCAGGAAGAGAGGCTTGATAGTGAATGTTGTTAAATATGATATTTTTCTAGGTACTATCAGGGAAATCTTTGTACTTACTAGTTTTCTAAAAGGGGAGAAATGGAGGAAAACACATATACTTTTAAAAAAATTAAGTTTATTGGTACATTTTAGGCAAATATTATAACCACATTCATTATTGGGAATTTGTACCTCTACATGATATATCTTAGTTCTTATTTTTTCCTATTCCCCTTTCCTCCCTTCCACCCCTTCACCTCTCCCTATTTATATAAGTTTTATTTCCATTTTTCCTTCTTTTTTCATTATTTCTTTCCCCTCTTTCCTCCCCCCCTTTCTTAGTTCCCCTTCCCCTTTGAACATTTTCTTCCTGTTTCACAATATCTGTTATACATTTTGGTCCTCATTTATACTTTCAGTTTCTCACACCAGAGAAACAATCTGATATTTACACATGTATGTCCTATTAATTTCACTTAAGAGGGTAGCCTCTTTTGCCCTTCAAAAATGTATCCCTTCATTCATACATAGTAATCAGACACCACCAGCTATTTCTGGCTCCCAATCCATTTGCAAATTGCCTGGCTACCACTCACCTTGCTTCATCCTTGCCTACACATTTGTCAGCCATCAGAACCACCTACAATGGCTTCCACTCAGAATAGCACAATTACTAACAAATCCCCTTACAGGGAAAATAAATGTGTGCAGTCAGGTGACACTCTTCCTTTTTCCTTCATCCTCTCTGTCTCTGGGGCCCAGTTGGCACCAAGTATCGTGCTGTCCAGATGGTGCGCTCTTCTTTGCTCCTGCTTGAGCATGTTCTCTGCCAAGGAATCGAGTGCCAGTTTTCTGGTGAGAATCTGCCTGCAGAAACATACTTGCCTGGGTTATGTCACTCCCTTGTAGTCTACATACAAATGGTGCCATGATGAGTCAAGCACTAGGGACTGAGAAGCTGGTGGAGGCAGGCAGAGATGGGGTTTGCATGAAAAATGAAATTGTTGGAGAAATGGAATGCACTCACTTGTGTGAACTTTGGTAAGTTATTTCAGCTCTCTAGATTCTGTTGTCTCACCCCTAAAATGCAGGTATTGGACTGGGTGATATCCTATTGTTCCTCATCTGTAACATTCAATAATACTCTTGTGAGCACTTGGTGTATAAAGCTTCAGGAGGATGCATTTGAGTGAGATCATTGTGTTGAAAACATCCTAGATTAAAGTGATGATTTTAGGATAGCCAGCCAACAATTTGGGGAGGAATAAATAAATTTCAGATAAGTGTGGGAGGTAGCTCTTTATAACAAAACTAGGTCTGCCTGATGACAAATTTCAGTGAGATCCTAAATTCAGTCTCATGTTTTTCAATGTTGAGAAGCATTTTGTAGGCAAGTGAAATTTTTTTGAGATGTAGACAATTAGTATGGTGTTCTTGATGCAAGAGAGGATGGTTAACTGGATTTGTACCATAATTTAGGTCTCAGGGACATAACAGTGAATAATTTGGATCCTAATAGTCATACAGCGAGTTGTGCAATACCCCATACTGGCAGAATATAATCAATCGGTCCACAAGAGCACCAAATTAGTGCTACATGCCCTTCAAATATTTTTGCTGAAGTGGAGGCCATTCTGAGGAAGAGGATCTGGCTTCCTCTTGTTTTTTTACTCTAGATGTCAAGGCAGCTGTGGGAGTGCTGCTCAGGAGCTCAACTGCTCAGAATTTGGAGCTATCCAGGTTTGAAGATTCCAGGGAAGAAAGAGTCTGCAGTAGTCTCCTAGGCCTTTGGTTATTGCTCCAACTCCACACTATGATTTAAATATTCCTTTGTAGGTTCCATTATCTACTATCTAGAAATGTAGAACTCAGCAAGAATCCTTGAGATGAAAAATATTGCTTCCCTCATATTTAGCTTACTCATATCCATATTATGAGTCATTCTTCCATCAATATGTTTTAATAACTATTTTGAATATATAGTTTGAATGTAAAATAACACTGAATATTTTGTCCTTATCTATCCAGCTTTTCTTCACACTTAAAATTTTCAGCTTGGGAGAGTGGGTATGGGTGGAGCCTGACAGAAAAACACTGTTTTCTTCTCTGCATATGCAAGAGTTCTGTCTATGATTATGTATTAAAATGGGTGGTGGTTCTTTGTTTCCTACAATTTTCATTTGACACACAATTACTTCCCTTTGTGACATATATGTTAGTGTGTACAAGGATAACTCAGGCCACAAGGGGCACGTAAAGCTTAGAGCTGTGGAACTTTATGTACTGGCCATGGATTCACCTGCTGGAGGTGTGTCTTAGTTCATTTTTTGTTTCTGTAATAGAATAACACACACTGGGAAATTTATAAAGAAGTTTATGTGCTCATGGTTCTGGAGCCTGGAAAGTCCAAGGGGTTGACTCCAGCATCTTCTTGGCATCTGGTGAGGTCTTTTTGCTGAGTCTCAAAGTGGCAGAATGCATCACATGGTGAGAGGGAAGAGAACATATACAGAAGAGCTTGCCTTTATAACAGAACCACTCTCCAATAACTAACCTATTCCCCTGAGAACTACCTTATTTGTACTCTTGAGAGAATGGCCTTAATCCATTCATGAGAGTGGGATCCTTATGACCTAAAAACCTCCCCTTAGGACCCTCCTCCCAACACTGCTGCATTGGGAATTATGGTTTCAACATAAAACTTTTGGGGGACACATTCAAACCATATCAGACTTCCATAATGACATACCATAGATTGGATGGCTTAAACAACAGCAATTTATTTTCTTATGATTCAAGTGGCTGGAAGTCCAAGATCAAGGTTCTGGCTGATTTGGTTTCAGGTGAAGCCTCCCTTTCTGGCTTGTAGATAGTAGTCTTCCAATTATGTCCTCATATGGTTCTTTCTTACTGTGTGCTCATGGAGAGAGAGGGAAAGTAAGTACTCTGGTGTTTCTTCCTTTCATAAGCATGATGATTTTACTATCTGATTATTACATAAGAGCCCTATTGTTATGGCCTCATTTAACCACAGCTGTTTTCTTAGGGGCCCCATATCCAAATACAGC